TTTGGGGTGGGGCCCGAGGCTCCACTCTCCTAACAGGCTTTTAGGTGATGTCTTGTTGGGATCCTCCGGTCACATTTGTGGGGTCCTGCCTGAAGGGGTGTGCCAGTTTTAAAGGTGTATCAGCTACAGATGCTCTTCCTTTCTTAGTGAGGAAGCTGAACACAGCAAGCTCAGTTTGGGGAAGTACGGCACTTTCTCTGGCTTCTCTGCCTTTCTCCGGGTCAAAGATGGGAGGGTAAGACACCTGCTGCCTCCTGCAGGAGGCTCTGATGCAGGTGAAGCTCGGGAGGGCCCCAAACCTGGTATGGGCTCTACCCCAAACATGATCTCGGGTTACATTGTCATGCTCTGACTTGGTATCCACAGATACAGAGACTGACGTCAACATGGGGCCACAATCTATAGAAGGAAACGGGACTGGACCAGAACAGCCTTTGTGTGGCCCTGGTTCTAAGGAGACAGGCTTCATCAACACGGACAGGCAGAGCTTTTTTAGGCTCTACTACAACAGTAGAAAACCTGGACGCGGTTGTCAAATGTAATGAACATCACCCCCAATCTCAGCTTGCTATTAGACATTCACACTTTCCCCACTAAATTTGCCAAATAAATGTAAGACTGGCACAAGCCTTTTTTTTGGCCTATCTTCACAGATTTTAATTAAGTGAAATGCACCCAACAGGGCCTTCCTATTTCCCTCCCTGAACTCACCCCACGGCGGCAGTCTGTCTCTCACCAGACCGGGCACCCCTTTCATTTGCATGCACAGCCTTGCCCACAGTGAACTCAAGAGTGCTACATTCATTCTCTCAAAGCCGAGTCCTGGCTCGTAGCTCTTCAGTCGAAGGAAAACAAATAGTCATTCTCGCCCTCTTGCCAAAAACAATTTGTTAACCCATCATCTGCCCAGACAACAAACGGAAAATAAAGTGCAACCAATAGTCTGCCAGTGTATCTCTCCGATAAATGTTTATCTCCCATGAACACGTAGGTGGGTTGCCTGCCAGCATGACCCTGTAATACATGTGCGGCAGCCCCATACATACCAGTAGAACAAGCCCACAGAATTCCAGTCAACACCAGTGCGGAACTGCCAAACTGGCAGTGTGGGATTAGCCAGACCCTCCCTTTGCCCAAAGCTTGACCTGTTTTTCCCCCCTTAACTAATTAATTGCTTCCTTTGGCATTATATAAAGATAGCACATTTCACTGCACGGCCCATTTTCATAATTCATCTAATCAACAAATATTTATTATGCGTCTATTTTATGCTATGTGCTGCTGTTCTAGTCCTGGGCACGTGGCAATTGACAGAAGCAAGTCCCTCCCGTGTGGGTCTTCTCACTTACTCCCGTCACTGGTTTTGTCCAGCCCCGTCATCTCTAAACAGAGGGCCACACAAGTGAGAACCATCTGCATCTTTCAGCCATCCAAGGCATCATTCGGGAGTGGCCGAGGTTGGATCAGACCATAGGTATTCTGGCACCTAATCTGTTTTTTTTTTCTCCAACACCACGGCACATTGAAAGGCACCTTTAGCACAGTGGTATGGGTACCAGTCTCCATTGTAACAGAGCCTTTATCCTAGAGAATCAATCTCAAGGGCTTGGGCTTGTGGGGTAGAGTCTGGGCTGTTTTTGCCGCTCCATGTTTTCTTTTCGGAAAGTGGAAGGAAGTTTGGGAGCTAAATAAAAGCATCATTTTTACTTGATGAGCTAATAGACATGCTGGTTATGAAGTTTAGAACAAGAGAGGAACAATAGTTGGTTCGTGCATGCCTCCTCCCCCACCCAATACACACACCCAGTGCTGGCCGAGACCTTCCTACTGGTGAGTCTGAGAGTGAGGGCTTGCTCCTGGAATGCTTAGGCAGAGGGAGCTCGACTCCGTGTCCCTTCCCCTGTTTGTCCTTCTGTCTAAGTCATGACACAGTCACCACCATCTTCAGAATGAGTGTCTGTACTCCTCCACAGCCAGGGAAAAGGTCACCCACAGTGAAGAGCTTGAACATGGGGAAGTGGGTGAGAGGAGGCGCAGATGTCTGCAGCATCGTTCGATTCCCTTCCCACGTGCATCTAAGTGGAGAAGTTTGGTCCCAATGAAGCCTTTCCCAGCAGGGAAGGCTGGAAAGAAGCTGTCACTCCACGCAGCTAAGGTCCGAGTTTCTGTCATCAAGAGAGACAGCCAGCCGGCTGGTGTGCACGCCTTTAATCCCAGCACTGGGGAAGCCGGGGCAGGAGGATCTTTATGAGTTTGAGGCCAGCCTAGTCTACAGAGTGAGTTCCAGGATAGCCAAGACTACATAGAAAACGTTGTCACAAAAGAAAGAGGAAAAAAAAAAAGATGGACATGAGCATGTCCAACAATATCAGCCTTTGTTTCAGGTGAATTCAAGGTTCAGGATATGTGTACTTGGTGTGTGCCCAACTTGAAAACTGTAAGAAATAATTCCTTCTGCTAAATCATTGGTATATGAATGAGAAAGAATAATTACCCAAACAATGGGAATTTTAGTCTATTCTCTCAATTTGTCAAAACACAGGCTACCTAAGTACTAATATATGGCTCTGAAAAAAAATCCCAGCTGACAGTGATTGACGCCGGTGACCTTCCGAGCAGCGTGCTCACTGTTTCTTATTCATAACTCCACTTAATCCTCAGGATATATTGTATTAATACAGTTTGACAATTAGAGACACAGACTTAAAGACCAGACCTGAACCCCACAAAAAACAGGCAACAAATTTGAAATTCAAGCTCAATTTGTATCGCTACAGCCTGTACTTTTTACACTCTGCACGCTCTTGTTGGGCTCACCCATGCACACACAGCCCTGTAGGACACATACCATGACCAGATCTAAACTATATTTAATTGAAGGTGGGGCAGGGACCAGCGGAAGAACAAGCACCTAGCACACACCGTGAGTTCAGCCCCTAACACCCCCAAATGAGACTGGCCATTGGTAATTTAGTTATTGGTACCGTTTTGGCAGAAATCAACTGATGAAGTCTTGTATCATTCCAAACTGGAATTTCCCTAATGATATCAAAAAGGAGCCTGTGATGTCCCTAAAGAAGAGTCATTCTGGAAATTTCCACAAATGCCAACTGGCTCTTTGGAGTTGAATAAGAGATAAATTGAGTAGCAGTGACCTAGGCTAATTAATGTCCCTGAAGGATTTTTTCCTGAGCTTCCGCCCACCCCCACAGTATCCAACAGCTATCCTGGCAATGACTTCACTACTCCGGCTCCTTAGTCTTGGCCACCATGAAGGGACGTGGTAAACATGGTCTCCCCATTTTTACCTGACTTGTCTTTAAACAGAGTGACCCCAAAGCCATTTGTCTCCCATCACATCACATCTTAGGCCTCTTCTCAATAAGCAGAGTCCCATGCTAGTATTTTAATTGGACACAACATTAATAATATCAGGAGAAATGAAACCGAAAGAAGTCATCCTGCGCAGCCCTGCATTTCTTCTGGGGTCACAATTGCCGAGAACTAACACAAAACGCCCAAGACGACCAGCCTTGGAAGCTGCTGCCCTGAGATGTGTGAGGACAGGGTGGCTAGGGTAGGAGGTGGGAGAGCTGGGCACCGCTTGTCACTGCTGTTACACACTCATTTGCATCCTTAAGTGGGCAACTGCCCATCATGCCTCTCATGTAGCTTGTTTTATGGAAATTCAAGGGGAAGCATTTTATTTTTTTCAAAACAAAGGAAAATAAGCCTGTTAATGGAGCAAACCCTATATTAACCACCCAGTTCTATCAGATTTTCTCATCTTCACTGAGATGATGGCTCAGTTTCAAATAAAGATTAATTACTTGATCATGGTTAAAACATAATCTGGCCAAATTAATCTTAAAATGGCTGGCTACCTCTATTACACTCTTCATACCCTGAGGATTCCAACCCATACATACCACAGAAACGAGTAGTTTGAGAAGTGTGCATAGTCATCGCCTTCTACCCATCCAGCGCCTCACTGGATTAAATTATTAGTATCCGCAGCCATGCATGCCCCAGTCTTGGCCTGACCTTGATGACCTGTTTTTGACAACATGATCCTGGCTCCCTCATGGCGTGCCATATTAAGTTCTTGGTAACATTATCCTCTCTGACAAATGCAGTGGGAGAGAGTGAGATGTTTAAATGCTGGTGGCACTGTGTGACTACGCCCGGCTACCTTGCTGTGTTCTGTTTGGCACTTAGAAAAGCAGGCTCCGAGTGACTGTTTTTCAGTTGCATCCATGCCTTCGTTTTTCATTCCTCCTGACACCAGCCATCAATCTAAATCCTCCTGCTCCAGTCACACGCCGATTTTCAAAACTAAAGCTACATGCCCTGGAATCTTCACCTTCTTTTGGGTAGCCCATGACACCCCCCATTGACGGTGGACAGTACATTTACATTTCACCCACATGTGGGACCCCTCCCATAAGCCCCCCACATGCAGCACCATTTCAGAGCGACAGCCCCCTCCTTTTTCTCCCATTTCAGTGGCAGAGCAACAGTCACACATGAGCAGTTCTCTTTGGGAAGGTGGAATACAGAATGGAGAGAAATAAAAAAAGCAGAAGGGCGCCTCACGTCAGACAATTCAACAAAACCCCTAGCAAATAGCAGTTCCCAACAGACACCCTGAGAGGGCTCCCAGGATGCAGCACGGGGGAGCAGTGATCCCACCAGTAGGGCACACCACATGTCCCAGTGGCTCCTGGTTAACCCAACCAAGTTGTCCGTGCCAAAACATTCAGATTTAACACAGCGTCCTCCTCAGCCCCGATACAATTCTATTTCCAGTTCTGCCAGGCTCGGCTCTGCCAAGCATTCATATTCTCTTCTGCAAAGAGGCATGAGTTTACATTCTGGGCCATCCATCAGTCACACCTTTTGATTAAAGAGCAGCCCAGTGGTTTCTGTGGAAGATACCGGGTCAGCCTCCATCGCAAGGACATTGAAATGAAGGTAGAAAGGATTATGTGGTCACTTACCAGCTCCTGAGGGCTGAGTAGCTGCAGCCCCACCGCTTTACCTGGTCTCTGGCTGTCTCTGCCTTTCCCTCTCTCTCTCTCCCTCTTTCTCTTGTGTACAGATTGCAGGGGAACTTAGGGAACTCGCAGGGACAGTGTTTCAAATGACTTAAGAAAGAGAACAGGAACAATACTTCGTTCTCTTTTTCTCAGATGAGTACCTTCGGGAAGAAGGAAGGAAGGGAGGGGAGAGGGAGGAAGTCAACAACCCTTCGCTTTCCTGAAAAAAAATAAGGAAACAGAAGATAGACATCTCATTTTCTCTTAAACAAAAATGTTGGAGGAGGGGGCGGGGGGAAGAAAGGAAGAAAATCTTTACAGAAAAGAATTCCTCAGATATGCTCTCTGCTCTGGGAGCTTGACTGAGATGGGAGCTCCTGAGTGGCCCTGTCCTGTCCAAACAAACGCAGGCTCTCCTGAGCCGCAGCCTCTGGTATCTGGCTTGCAGAACCAACACGGCCCCAAAGGAACAAATCATGTCATGCCGACTCTCAGCCGGGCAAAGTTGGGGCTGCTGTGCTAACCAAAGGGAACCTGCAGCCTTTCACAAAGGGCATGGTGGCTGGTCACCCAGGCCTTTTGGCTTTTCCTAGCTGCTTTGAGAAACCACCGTTGCTACAGTTCCTTGGCTGACTCCAGGTTCTTCGAGTTCCTCCCGACCGACCGAAAAGCAGATTTATGCACTGCTCACCGAGCTCTGTGCAGTGGGCCAAGTCCAGCTCCATCTTTGCTGATGGACGAAAAAGGAAAAGAAGCCGCTTAGCGCGGCGCTGCCGGCCATGGTTAGATCGGACTCTTGTTTACATGCCCTGTCTCTCTTGGATGTAGTCACCTCTGGAACTCTGGAGGAAGAGTGCTAATTTGTTTTGAAAATACTGTGAAACAGCCGAGGTCTTAGATAAATCAGTCTGTTTTTGAAGGAGGGTGGGAAGGCTGGGTAGGAGCAGAGAAAAACGGAGTGAGCATCCTTTACCGAAGATGGAGCTGGCGCTCAGTGGGCAGGCCTAGGCTCTGTGAAGCATGCCTGCCTGTACTTACTGAAGAAGGAGGGCTCAGTGGGCAGACCTGGGCTCTGTGAGGAATGCTTGGACTTCAGGGGAGGGAGCTGGGGCTCAATGGGCAGGCCTGGACTCTGCGAGAGATGCCCGCACTTACGGAGAGAACTGAATTCAAGTCGTGCGATTAGCTTTGTGAGTCTCATGCCCTCCATCCATTCACTCAGCTGAGATCATTGTCGCCACAAACAGGAACCAGCAGTTGTGGTCCTTTTTGGAGGCACAAGAAATATTGCTTATGAGCTGCTTCCTCGATTTACTTGAGAGTGGAAAAAAAAATGGGGTGGGGAGTATACCTGATGGACTGCCGTGGGAAAGGTGACTTCACAGAAAGTGAGGCTTGGGTTCAGAGTCCATACGATACTTTCATCCAGGTACTATGGTCCACGGCATTGAGTGTTTATCCCATGTTCTCCAGCTACATCTTGGTCTCTGTCTATCTGCCTGCCTATCAACCTGTCAGTCTAAATGGGTGCAAGACCAGAAAGGGCATGTAAGGAGGGTAGTCTGGATGTCTGGAAGAACTGGGGGGACCCCACTCTTTGCATTTGCAATGCATCCAGTGCTCCCACAGAGACTCCTGCCATGAGTGAGCCTGTCCCCATAGGTGAGAGCACCAACAGCCAGCAGAACTCCTCTGCCCTTCAACCAGTGGGGAGCAAGCACTCATCTGCCTCCTGAGTCCTCTCCAGGGCTCTTGCCCTCTGCTGGCCTTCCTCTGCATCCTGCATCTGCAGGGAGGGGAGGAAAAGGGAAATGGAAAGCCAGAGAAACATACACCAGAGAGTGAAGGTGGTAAGAACAGAAGCAGAGGTTTCAGAAGGGAGGCACCAGTGAGCACAGCTGGGAGGAGTCCTGGGGTTGTGGAGCACAGAGGCTGTGGAGCACAGTTGGGAGGAATCCTGAGGCTGTGGAGCACAGTTGGGAGGAATTCCGAGGCTGTGGAGCACAGAGGCTGTGGAGTGCAGAGGCTTTGGAGCATAGAGACTGTGGAGCACAGTTGGGAGGAATCCTGAGGCTGTGGAGCACAGCAGCTTTGGAGCACAGAGGCTGTGGAGCACAGCTGGGAGGAATCCTGAGGCTGTGGAGCACAGCAGCTGTGGAGCACAGCGGCTTTGGAGCACAGCGGCTTACCATGCAAAGCAGGTCATGAGAGAGAGGCCAGTGGGAGCCATAGGGAGAGGGTGGGCATCAGTCATCACAGCAATGAGGTGGGTGGGAACAGACAAGAATCCCTGCAGCCAAGAAACCTTCACCACCTCAGGAGCCAATCACACCCCATGACCCTTCCTATTTGCTTTTCTCCTTGCAGCCTCAGGCCAGGCCAGGCTGAGCCCCAGGAGTCCAGACCCAATCCAAAGGATTTCCCTTTCAAGTTTTCAGAATGTGGGGACTGTCACGTTGGACCATGTTGTTTTCTCATGGCTAGCTGACCCACCCAGGAGAGCCTGGACAGGAACATGTCCATTCAGTGTGCTGGCCTTGGATTCTGGGTGTCAACCTCTAGTAGGCTCTTGGGATGCCCATGGGCCTCCCCGAGGTTGCTCCATGCAGACACCTGGCTGTAACCTGCCTGCTGGAGCCCACAGGGAGACTTCTTCCTCTTTCCTTGCACTGCCAGTCATGTGGAAAGTCACCTAGGAGCCTCATCCCATCACCCACTGGGGGCCAGCAACTTCCTTAGTCCCTCCCACTAGGCCTCCTGAGAGAGATCTGAGTCAGCCCCTAAGCTCTAGTGAGCTCCTGGAGCTTGTTCTGGATCCTACTGAGGGAGAAGGGAATGGGCACTAGTGCTGAGCAAGTGTGAAGATGTGTGTGTGGCATGGTTGTAACCTGGGCGTTGATCCCCACCTCAATTATCTCCACATAGCATGACTCGTTATAGAGATCATTTGAGTTGGCCAGAAAGGGCCATAGACCCATGGGACTTGGAGGAAAAACCACAATGGGACCAAAACAAAAATCTAACAACCCAACATCAGCACCAGCTTCCTCTCTCCTCACGTGAACTCAGCTCATCACAACTTCCCACTTCTAAACCATCCCAACTCATGGACATCTCCGGCTATGATGTCAATGAATTTGGGAGCCTTCTGTTCACCTTGGGAGTAATTCAGTCCCAGATGATGGAGGTGGGAAGCCACGGTGGAGATAGGGTTGAAACAGAATGTACATTCTGAAAAGTGAACCAAGAGCTTCGTGTACTGCTCAGTGAAAGTCCACAAATACATCTGTCTGTATGGTCAGCGTCCACGGCCACGAAAGCAGGGCTTTCATGCTCCTTCTACCACACCTGTCCTCAGGGGACATCATCTTAATGTCTACTAACAACAGTTGCTTTTGAAATTGCGTAAAGTGTGAACCTGGCTTTTGTTTATCTGCCTGGGGGTTTTCAGCCTTGGCATTTTCGAGATTCCTCCCCAGCACTGAGCTTCTTCCATCTCATTGCTGCCCGGTACTTCAAGTTGGGACTACACCACCATTACACGTCTGCTGCTTTGAGTCATTTCTACCATACAGTGTCGCATCTGTCCCTACCAGATGTCTTCTTAAAGGTCAGAGGCAGGTCTCATTTCTCTCTGGGGAGAGCGTCCTCTCCAGTGACTCACTCTTTTTGGTTGGTTGCTTGCTTGGTTGGTTTGCCTTCCTTTGGCATCCAGTTCCTCCTCGTACCTGGGATACACGGTGTCAGGGTTTCTTTTTTAATCAGATGGATTCGGTTTGAGGATATGGTGGTACCTTGGAGATGCTGGCAGAGTGCCTGAGAAGCTTGAACGAGCTGTCGGGGCGCTGTTCTCATTTCCTGCAGGGACCTGGAGACCATGGCTCCTGTTCTCCAGCCTCATGGTGTGGACTTCATCTCTTGGGGTTCTGCAGACAGCAAGTCTCTAATGCCCTCTGGGTTCTACGTGGACACACAGAGTCCTATCATCCAGTTTTGCCAAAGGGTTGGTTGAATCCCCAGCCTGAAAATACTTTGAAATATCCATTGTCTCTTTGATTTATTTTCTCTCTCTCTCTCTTTCTCTCTCTCTCTCTCTCTCTCTCTCTCTCTCTCTCTCTCTCTCATCAAACCCTGATGTTTTTCAAAATATACATCTTAAAATTTCGGGAACATCCATTTCTTTCTTCTTTTTTAGTTTTAGTTTGTTTTGTTTTGTTTGCCTGAAAATCGATATGAAGGATTCATTTGAAGGGGTTACTGGGGAAGGAAGTCTGTCATATTCATTATGTACTGACTGACTATGGCACTGTTTACTCTTTGAATGTCATGATCTACCTCAGGGCACAACAGCTCTGTGAAGGAGGTGCTGCCACCGTCCCCCCCCCCCCGCCCCCCCGTGGCTGAGAACATGTAGTCATGGCACTGTGGCACCATTTCAGCATCACACCATCAGTAAGATTACAGATCCCATGAATTCCGGCTCAGGCCCCTAATTCTAAGCTGCAGAACCAACTGGCTTTGCCCTCTACATAAGCAATGCCTGTCAAGTAGTTAAAAATACAACAAATGGTCCCTAAAATTGGAGAAATTGTGCTTTATACTGTAGAAGCAAAAATGCATGGCCAAGAAGCTCACTAGACAATCATTTAGTGAGAAGTCTGTGGATTTGAAGGCTTCATGCTATGAGTGAGTGGTCAATGTGCTTCTGGATTTTGTTTACCTGATAGAGCTATATTAAGCAAATTAAACAAATCATGCCTGGATACCTAAACAAGTATCATTGCTTAGATAGTCTTTTCCAGGGAAAACTGTGTGTCAACTGAGGCCCAAAGAACAAGCATGTGCCAAGGAAAGACGGTAAGGGGAAATTCATGTAAGGACAGCATGGTAGATCTGAGTTCAGACTCTGTACTTGCTCACAAGAAGGATGTAAAACCTTTAAAGCTTTCACATCAGAGATGGGATTACCACATAGACATTTCAGAAAGACTAGCTTGGTCCCTGTGCAAAGGCAGGTTGTGGAGAGGCAAGAGTGAATGTGGACAGGTAGTTGTAAAGCATAGGCTATGTGGATGGTCCTGGTGAGGACTATCAGAAATCCAGCCAGGCATGCTAACACCTGGACACAGGATAAGCGTGACAGATCGACAGATATGTTGATAGATTGTATGACAAGAAAATGAAGATTGACAATGTGTGGTATAAATGTAAATAGTTTATGAAAGATCTGTAGTGTCAAACATCTTTCACCACGCCCCTAATTCCATCCGCATTTTCCAATCTGAGTACTTAACCTGCCTTTATTCCACTCTGACGTCCTATCTGCTTGCCTTTCTGTTACTGTCTCAACATGTGTTCTTATGCCTAAGTTTATCAACAGCCACACCACAGAGTTGGACCCACCCAGTGCTTTTGCCAGAAAGCTACCAAGTGCTCTTAAAGCTTGGCTGAAACGGGCAAGTTTGGGTGATGTATTAGAAGTTGAAACAGCTAGAGTTGAAGAGAATACATGTTAGCTATTCCGTGTTAGAACCAAGGTCGACATTGTCTAATCAAACTCTGCTGCACCTGGTGGATTGGTAGTATTAGAACTGAGCACATATAGTTGTAAGGACTATCTGAGACTAAGAAGAAGAAGAAAAAAAAAACAGACTCAGCTTCTCTGGCCACACAGTACTTAACTGCCTTTGCAAGCACCCACACTTCCCTACACACCAAGCAAGCAAATATCTCTGCATCAGATGTCAGTGTCCTCCAATTCAGTTCAATCCTAACAAGGGCTACATAGAGAAACCATTTGGTCAAAAGCTGTGAGCTCAGTCTCATGAGCCTGCTCCCTTGTTCCAGGCACTAATTGCAAAGAGATAATTTGTTTCACATGGGTTTTTAACAAACTGCCTATAAGCTGGGGCTTTCATAACCCTTTCCTTGGCTGGAATAATTTGACAGAGCAGAACTCAGAACTCAGAACTCAGGAAAGTGCCAAGCTGTTCAGTCCTTTGTTATGAAGGATGCTACAAAGGATGCCTATGAACACCAGATGGAGATAAGTAGAAAGGGATATGGAGAAACAAAACAAAGCTTCCACAGTCTCTGGGCACACCATTGTCTAGGAACATCCATATTAGGCTATCTACAAGCTCTCAAACTCATGGGAGCTTCATTTATGTGATCATGGTTGAATTATTGGCCACTGGTGAGCTGGATCTTCAGGAAGAATTTTAAGATATACATTCACAAAACTTAAGAAGGTGTGTGTGTGTGTGTGTGTGTGTGTGTGTGTGTGTGTGTGTGTGTGTGATTATATACATATAATCTGTGTGTAATACTGTCCCTATCTGCATTCTGAAGTAACTGGGTGTATTGTAACTCCAGAGGTTAGCACTCAAGTCCTCCAGTACTCACATCTGTAGTACAAAAGGGTCAACCTCAGTTTCCTCTGCCAAAGTGGTTGCAAGGCCTGCCTCCTCTTTACAGGCTCTCTAGAGAGCATTCCAGGAGCCTCTGTGTCTATACCACATAAGAACCAAGAAAAGACTTCTTTCATAGGCATTCAGTCGGCTGACAGCTCTGTGTCATTATTGTTCATTGATGCCACATTCTTCATTTAGTTGTTCCAGACAGAGAACACAAAGGGAATTAGCATTGAACCTTGGTGTGATCTGGACCGCAAAAGCTGGCTGGCTTGTTTGTGGCTCCAGGCCTTCATCGTCAAGACTTGTCACAGGAACATGCATTCAGAATGCCAAAGACCTACTAACTAACCCCAGAACCCTTTCCCCAGAGAAAGACGGTCACGGCTACTCTAACAAAACTCAACTCCCAGTTGAGTTCTGTTCTCAGTCTTCTGAGACTCAGCACACACAAGGGTCAGGGTCCTCTCCTCTTCAAGCCTATCATCCAGGCTCCTTAGCTC